TCGATCCCCACAGCCTGGACTCTGGGTCTCTGAGCAAGACCTTTAACCGCTCACTGCTCCCCAGGCACTGCACAGGGGCAGCCCACTGCTTTCCAAGGGGATGGGTAAAACATTCAGAGGTGCATTTCTCGAGTATGAGATCAATAAAGTTAAAATGTTATAAATTATTATTATTAATTATTTATTTACTTACAAAACTTATTAAATTAACTAGTATTTTGAAAATACTTGAACAACAAAACTTATACTCTTACACACTTTGGGGGGTTGAAGGTGTTGTTATGGACAAAAAATGTTTCCTATGTTATGTACTTCATTACATAACTAGGGTTGACTCAATTGATGTCACTGCTTTGTGAATAGGTCTCTCAAGACAAATTACTCTGGTGCGTGGTTTCTCTTTAATAACCATTGTCTCGTTGAGTCTTAACTTGAGCTTTTGCTCCATCCCATCAGCACTTGGATATATTTCCACCAACTTGGTAAGTTAACACTTGTTCCATGGGGCACCAGCATTTTTCAAAATGACGGCGTTTCCATATTCCTACCAAATGATTTGCAGGAGGAACATACGTTACTAGCAACTAATTTCTTGTTGCTTTGCATGAATCCTTAGTGTTGAGTAACTATAAATTCTCCTCGCACCCGCAAAGTTTGTTCCCTGGTGAAATCTAAGCTGATTTAATTCTCCTCTAATTGCAATAAGTGTTCTTAATGCATTCATAAAGGCATCTGTTGTCAAATCATCATGTGCTTTATACGCACAGCTCTGGGCTAGAGACAGATAAACAGTATTCTATACTGCTTTAATTCCTTCCTTCTATATTTGACAAGGAAGAGTCTGAAGCAGTATTGATCACTATAGGTAAAGGCAGGAGATGCCTCTGTTCTCTTTTCAGGTAAGTTTGCTATTTGCTAAACATCTGTTGACCTTCTGTGTTTTGTGCACATTACACATTGGTATGAGTGTGAAGAAACTGCATTTCCACATCCTATGACATGTATTTGGTTTTCCCAAAAATGATTTATGGTCATCCCTCTTCCTTGATGTTGGAGAACACTTATGCTTATGTTTGATAAGCAGGGATAAGATGTGTGATTTCTTGGGAAGAATACCTAGATGTTTCCACATCATGTTGTAGAGTAAATTCAGATGTCAGTCTTCCTCCCACCCTAAGAACATTGTTCTTACCCAAAAAGGCATTTCATTTGTGTAGCTTGTTGTGGTTACTGAGAGACTGAATGTCATGGCATTTGATTCTGTGAATGTCATCTGCAAAGGCATCCTCTTGCACCAACCTCATTATGTGAATCTATTCTTCCTCTCTCTCTTCCAGAGAAGTTGCCTCATTCGTTCTTAATTGAAGTCTTTTTAAATCATTGAACCATCTCTTCAGCCTAGCAATGGTTTTGAATGCTCTGAACCAATCCGAGAATTTCGCTAAGCGATCTATAAATGAAGTTACTGTTTTGTTGTTATGAGTCAATGACAATGGATTTTGCAAAGTTCTGGATATTCTGAATTAACTCCATCCACCAATCCTTTGTTTTGTTGACGGTTTTGCGCCAAAAGAAGGCCGAGTCCTTTTGGCCAGTCAGAATCCTTAAACTGATCTGCATTTAGTCCACTTCGGGCATAATTCCTCAGGTTATTTTTTGAGCTGATGTGTCTCCATTGTTCTGGGTTTGTGCTGAACTGATTCTTGTTGGACATACTAGCCACAAGGAATGTAACTTCTTGCCTTAATTGTGAAGACTAACAAGCAAAACCCTTTAAGTCAGTCCAAAAAGCTCTTTTTTAATTTCAAGCTCCTTTCTGAGAACATCAGCCATGCAGACAGAACTTAGAGCTCATCCCAGCTTAACTCTTGGAATAGTTACTTTGTTGGTATTAACACTTGCTTTTGCAGTTGTAAGTTAGCATCTAATGTTGCCTGTTGCATTTAGTGTTCAGAGATATGAAGAAGCTCTATATTCACTGAGGTGGAGTCAGTGCTGTAAGAACTTAACCCAAAACACGAAGATATATATTAATAAAATGTAAAGCTACAACATGAAGGCTTCAAGTTAAACCAGAATTCAGTTGTTATAAAATACCTACAGTATAGTAATACCGAATTGGCTGTAAAAAGTGTTTTTTAAGTTCTTGATGATCACTGTTGTTCAGTTATACAGCCTTTAAAATTATTTAGCTTTAACTTTGTATCAACAAAACTGTGTTGCACCCCTTATGTTTATTATCATGTTTTCAATCTGAGGGCTTTCGACCATCTATGCAGGATCTCAATGGATAAACAATTAATGCGTGATTCTAGCACCAACTTCAGATAAGAGTTCAGCAGTAAGAAGTTTAAGGTTTTTAATCGACAAACCTATACAGGTGTATTTACCGAATGAAAGTGTAGTCCTAGATCTTTGCCCATTGGTCACCACCAACATGTCCATGTTTCAAACCGATTTTCCCCACTCAGTAACACACCCACTGGGATGCCAACTCTGGTAATTGGCTGTTCCATAGTCAGAAACATGGCATTAGGACACCAGGGGCCATTGTCAAATGTTTGAAACATGCCTGAATGACATCAAAACCTACCTGAAACTCCTGGCTAAGATATGTTAAGATTTTTATTCGCCCTGTTAGTAATTTCACCCAAGTTACGCCAATGGAGACCGAATCCATCCCGCTTTGGATGAGGCAGGTCTTCTTTCTTGGAATATGGCGAAATTTATTAGTTCTCCAAAACCCTGACAACCCAGGGTGGAGACTAGGAAGCGAGTCGCATTTTAAGACACCGCTCGCAGATTCTCTACCCACTCATTACTCCAATTGATGCTCCATCCAGACCGGGTCTTGCCCATGACCAAAATCAAATAACTAAAAAAAAGAATCCTAAAGGAGAAAATCGTTATAATTTGGTGAATATTAATATTACTCCATTCAGGGAGGGAAATAAAAACAATGAAATGTGGTTTATTTGACATAAGATCTCTTTTTTCAAAAAGACTGTTAGTTATGGACTTGATTTTGTCATGGTTTTGGTTCTGTTCAAGTTTTATCTCTGAGTTTTCATTGGTCTTATTTCCATTTTTGTGTTGTAGTTATTTCTGATTGTATTTGAGTTTCTAGATATTTCTTGTTTGCCCTCTGGTGTCAGTCTCCTTTTCCCTACCTCCCTTCTTGCCTCTCTTCACACCTGCTCCCAATCTGGTCTTTGTTTCTTTCTCCAATATATTCTCCTCCTGTTCAGTCAATCTTTGCCCCCTTCTTGTGAGTATTCCTGGTTCTCAGTCTTTGTAGATTTTGTGGATTTATGTTTTGGTTTTTACGTCTGTTGAACTTTTGGTTAATTAAATCTTCAAAAAAACCCTCCAGCTTTTGTGTCTGCATTTCAGTCCTGTCAAACCTCCACCTCCATTTGACAGATTTGTGATAATCAAATAGATTTACGTTGTCTTATAGAAACTTGGCTGCAGCACGATTATCATAAATTAGGAAAGTTCCTCTATTTATTTACATTTTCGTATATCCAGAAATTCTGGACGAGGAGTAGCAACAATCTTACAGCATGACTTACTGATTAGTCCAAAGCCAGTTAATAGTTTCAACTCTTTTGAACATTCAACCCTTAGTTTCCCTCCCCAAATTGCAACAAAAACTTTTCTCATTGTCACTTTATGTCATCAACCAGGTCCTTACTCCGAAATTTTATATCAGTTTTCAGAGTTGCTATCTTATTTAGTGTTAAATGATGGCAAGGTCATTGAAGTGGGTGATTTTTTTCTATTTCGAGAAGGTTAATCACTCTTTGTTTGTTTTCTTTTTTTTTCTGCATAATAATGTAGCTCTCACCTCATTCTTAAAGCCTGGGAAATGGCTTTGATACTCAATGATGTCAGTAATGTTTCAAATCTTTTCTTGGAGACTTGCATTGTGAAATGTGGCTTTGCTGTTTTCAAAACTTTAAGCCTGCTTCCTGTTGTCAGAATGGTTCTATTTCAGTTATCTTTTATATTCTAGAAAAGTAATCAGGTGTGAGTTTGGCTTGATATGAGCCGGCCTTAAACTTGGTTAATCAAAGATGATTGATGACTTAACAAGGGAGGTAATGATATTTTCAAACAGGTCCAGCCTGGCCTGGATAGCAATTTCACATCATAAATGCATTCATTCTTTCAAAACTGATTTTTGTTTTACTCTGGAAGCTCTATGAGATTTAAAATTTGGTTTGGAAATATAAAAGAACAGGTGACTGAATAAATCAAAAATGGAGCAGATATAAAAAGTGCAAATGCATTTTCTTTTTCTAGTAGGTGTCTTGGACTGCAAGTCCTTACCATTTGTAAATAAAAATAAAAAAATGCAGTTTTGCATGCATGTGTCCACTCTTGTCTGCATATTTAGCCTCTTCTGCTCTATAATGTTGCTCTCTTCCCTTGAGCCGAGCATGACAGACTGTTCCTCCAGGCACTGCAGGCCCTCAGCGGCGCCTGCTGCAGGAGGGTAGGTGTAAAGTGCACCAAGGCAGTGTGTGGCGTGGGCTGGGTGATCCCTCCCACGTCTCCCTTTTACTCATGCTGTCCCATGGGGAGGCAGACACCCGGCCAACTGGTGTCAACACTCATTCGCCAAAAACCACTGAGTCACTGACAGTCTTTAAATCCTTTCTTTCCCCTTTTTATTGTTGGTTTGCTGATTATATCTAAGATCCTGAGCCTCCATATCATCCATACAAGGCAAATGATCACTTTAACTTAAATGTTTGTTTGGTGTGTTACTCTAAGTTGCAATGTTTTGAAGAGTGAAGCTTGATTTACAATTCCTCTCTGATCTTTCTGATTTTCTTTAGTAAGACCTGATACAAGCAGCAGAAGGGACATTTTCACTAAAAGGCTGCATATCTTTAGATAAATTCCCAGCTTGAGGTATTATTAGCTTCAAAGATTGGACAAAAATATTCATTGTTTACAAAATTTTATTCATACAAATCTTACAACACCTTTTTGAAACATTTATTGACTTGACTCTTAAAGTAATCTACGATTCACTTTCCACACAGTAAATATATATATCTATATATATGTATATATCTCTGAAGATTAACTCAATTGGTAAGGCTATTGGCGCTTTCATTATCATATATGTCATTTTTCTTGGAGGAGCTGTCATCTTCTCCTTCCCCCGCTTTTTTCACAAAAACCTAGATTTCTAAAACAGAATGCAGAACAAAAAGCAGTGCAAGCAGAACACCTGGACGCCTAAGCTGCTAAAGATCATATCAAACACCTGGAACACAAGGAGGACAACAACGAAAAATGACAATGAAGCGTGAGCCAAAGATGTGCAGCATTGTAGGGCCACTAAATAGCCATTCGTGATTCATGGCAATTCATTTTTTATATTTTTTTTTTTTGTGTGTTTTTTTTTTTTTTTTTAGAGTCGATGCAAGGCACCACAGCTGCAAACTGCTCCCCTGCGTCACAAAGCCTGGAGGGAAATGCAGAAGCAAAGAAAGATTGATACAAAAACATAGGGACAGCAAAACTTTAACCCTGTTCTCTTAATGGTCCTAAGCAGGTGCATCTCCATGAATTAGAATACCATCAAAGAGTTTGTCAGTGTTAGGGATTCAATTTAGAGATAGTTTTATATATCTTAAGCAGTTTTTTTTTTTTTTTGTATTTTAATCTAGATTAGCGATATCTAACTGCACATGAAATAAAAAAATACATTTGAAGATTTTTAACACAAAAAGGGTGTCTTTTAAAGACAATGTGAATAATGCCGCTGCTCTCATAGTGTTGTAAGGGAGCATAATTAGGAAAAAGTTGAGTGGAAGATAAAGGTATATCAGAAAAAGTTCCAAAGGCTACTGAAACCCTGTGAACATGAGATGATTAATGCACTTAAAATGTTGAGAATCAAATTGCCTTAACTGCAGCTTAAATCAAAGCTTACTGAGCCACCAAATACAATAGATATATATTTAGAATGTAGGCTGCAAGTCTCACGTTCTTTTTGTTAAGCCACTCCTGAATTGGGATTAGAAAGAAAAAAAGACTGTTGATGGTTTCATAGTTTGATTACCACAATATCACTGGCCTGACCTAAACCCAAATCTGAATCTAGTATAAGTCAAGAGGAACACAAGACACAGCAGATCCAGCATTAAAGACAAGCTCAAAGCTTGTCAGTCAAAAAACCTTGGAAATTATTTATATATATATATATAGCTCTGTGCTACATTACCCCAGTTGTGTGTGCACCAATTTTGAATACACTTTTACTTCCACTCAACTGTCATTGCATATTGATTACAGCACTTTCCAAATGACAGGCATTTTTGAGCAATGAGCTTTAGTGGCATATCCTCTGAGCAACCCTCATGGGGAAGTTTTCTTTTTTCCTACTATGTGAAATATACATTTTATCTTGAATAAAGTGGTCTCTGTGATATTGTAACTTACTGATATGCACCTGTAAGCAAGTAATGATTTGGTTAGCTTTGCTTAAAAAACAAATTTATTGTCTGCTTATCTTAGTTTATGTGCTTTTCTTCCTCGAATTGTGATTTATCAGGACAGCTTTTTTTTTCCTCTGTGCAACCAGAAATTATGAGATACAACCTCTTCTTTAAAATTAACATTAAAAAGTAACCATAATAAACGTTAATAGATTGCATCAAATTGAGATATTATTACCAGGAGCAAAGTACATTCATGACAAGGGTTAACACACAACTTGTGTAGCAGTGTGAGTGAGGTGAAAAGAACAAAAATCATCCAGCAGTAGTAGATATGTATGTATGTAGAAGTCAGAAAGCAAGCAAAACCATCTAGTTGTCTGCACAGATGCAATGAGCTGGTGCAATTACTTTAATCATGCAGTCTGCTTGAAGTTTGTACAGCGGTTCACATGACAGAAAATAGGGAAGCACAATAGATTAGAGTTCAAACCACCTTGTATGTCCCTTACACAGAACACACAGATGGAGAAAACCATGTAACAAGTATCATTTCTTTGTATTTTTTTTGTTTTGTTTTGTTTTTTCTGCTTCTTGTTTGCTTTTGAAATGCCATTGATACTTATTAAATGGAAAGAAAGATAGGAGAAAATCTCCAAACACATTACCTTGAAGTTGATAGATACACAACATTGGCACTTAACATGAGTCAGAAGTAGAGGTTCTCTCTATGAACACCGTTGAAGTGGGGAAAATAGGTGAGGAAAACCTCAAAAGTACTCTGCTCCTCCTGTCAAATCTCATATTTTGCAATGTCCAAATGCAAAAAGATAGTATGAACATAATTCAGTGAGCATGTCTTAAGTTCTAATTAGTTTACATCACATTGAATTTATGGAAAACTGAGGGAATCCAAAGAGCAGCTACTTTGTCCTACTCTGCTGCCTTCCCTACTGTTACTATTTTGATCTCTCATTTAGCTTCTCACTGTAGCTTAGGTCTTTCTTTACAATTATTTTAACAAGAAATCAGCATCTGCAACTATTCAAGTAGATTATGTTTATGTTTGCTTGTTTATAGGCAGTTATAGTTATAGATATTCATTGTTTAAACTTTTTCTTACTTTTATACTGTCCATTATCTGTAAGGCACATACTCTGCTCATAGCTTTTACATGATTTACATGATACAGTATCTTACATGTATGTAACACCAATTCATAAGGAGGAGGAAAATTAAGCAGATTTTGTGAACCATCAGGTCTTTTCATGTTTGTGTCAGTTTTGATGGGCTGTCTGTGTAAATAGTGGATATGTATCTGGATCCACAAAGTAGAAGTTACAGTATTTTATTCTTTTAGGACAATGACACAATGCTTTTTCTGTGAAATCTAAAGAAGCTCTCAGTGTTCTCAGTATCAAGAGTTCAGTTTGTAATTTTCCATCAGTAAAGATAGAGCACAAATCTATATGTTCCATATTTTTGACCCTTTCTCTCTCCCAGTTGTTGAGTCCATGGTCTCCTCTTCACCTTAAGTCAAGTGTCTAGATTCCATTCTCCATAGCACTCTATCCTTCACCTCTCACATCAATAGCAGCACCCGGTCTGCATATTTTCATTTACCAAATATTGAACATCATCGCTCCATTTTCTTGTACTTTGCATTAGTATTTATCCATCCTAGCCTTGTCACCTTTTGCATTGACTACTCTCTTCTCTTTCATCTTCCTCCAAAATCACTCTGTAAGCTTCGAGTGGCACAGAATTAAGCTGCACACAATCAGTAGCTCCACTGGCTACCAGTTAGATTCAGAATAGATTTCAAAATCCTTCTGTACACATTCAAGGCTATCCACTCAGTCCCCCCTACCCCTCTGATCTCATTCACATCGCTACTCCCGCCTGCATCCTTAGATCCTCCTCTTCCATTCACCCTACTGTTCGTCCATATCGTTTCAGCACCATGGGGAGGAATGCTTTTTCCAGCTATGCTCCCAAGCTCTAAAACCCTCCTCCTCAAGAAATGTTCAATACTAACACTCTCGCCTCAAGTTGAAACTCAAAACACATCTGTTGCAGAAGATCTACACATTGTAAGTGCAGGTTGTTGTTCTCTGTTGTTTCTGTTTATCATGATTCATTGTGATTTGTAAAATGATTACAATGTGTTCAGTTTGAGCAGCGTTTTCAAATAAATTTTATAAATATTATGACGACCATATTTAAACACATCATAGATTAAAATAACCCCTAATACTATAAATTTGTGTATTAATTTTTGAAACTCTTATCATAAATCCATTGTTTATTCAGCATAATGTTTACATGTTGAAGTTATTTGCCATCTCAATATAGCTTCTGTTATGCTTATTTTGACTAAAGGGAATTGTCGACATTTTCAGAGCTGAAAAATATATATTGTTCTATTTGCGTCTGAAGTTGGAGCTGAGAGCTAGGAATTATATCACACCCAAGCTCAAGGTAACAGTGGAAATTTCCTATTTTTTTTCATTTGTACGGTAAATGAAGTAAGCAATGCAAAGCTGTAAGACCCAAATACACAGCTCACAAGAGCACTGTATATTATTTTCTGCAGGCAATTTTTGCAACATTTTACTTTTTCATGAGTGGTAGTGATAAGGAGGCTAAATAATTCTGAAATTAGGGGACATTTCTGTTATATTTCTGTCAAAAATTTTGGAAAAGTCAGCCTCAGAATGTAAAGAGAACACACAAAGGATAATGCAAGTTAGTCTAGATTCACTCCATCTAATTCTTTTACGGCAGACTCAGCTGCAGCCATGAAGGAGTGGGCTGGACACAAGGCAGCATGCAGCTAAACCACTAGTCAATTCAAATTACAATGTTGAAAATGAAGCACTTGTTTTTTAGTGGTTATAACCTTGAAGAACTGCTCTTTAAATTATTAAGCGGAAACCACAAAGAAAAAAAAGCTTTTAAAAGGACCAATCAGTGGCTCATATTAAGTATAGATGAAACAAGTTTAGATTGGCATTAGAGGACTAGCATCTCAGCAGAGTTCAAGGAGCAGAACAAGATGCTTATGTATTACACTTTTTGTAGATTTAAATGTTTTTATGGCTATACAAGCCAAGTCGCAGGAGTTGATTAGAAATAGATGATAAAAATACATCTGGTTTAGATACCATTTTTTTTTTAGAAATAAACAAAACCTGGTTAGCCCTGCTTTAGTGTTGGGAATTCTGTTTAGATAATCAAATTAGTAAAAAATGTTGTAACATGACAATTTCTTTGAGGAACATATTATGCTGACAAAATACACTTTTAGGGAACAATCTAATTAGTCCAAAGACTCCGGAACTTTTTTAGTCTCAAATGTGAGAATTGTTTACATTACCTGGAATGCTTTATTAGTTTTGTAGGGTTTAAAGTTTTGGCCATCTCTCACTTTAGGTTCTGTCTTGGTCTCTTTCATTTTTACCACTATATTTTGAGTTTCTTTTTGTCAGCTCCTGATCACATTTACATCTACACTGTCTCTGTGATTTAAATGAGCAATTTAGCAAAGCCTATAATGTTCCAGAGAGTGTTATATAACATGACAAGTGTTGCCTACCTAACAACTTAGTCTTTTTTAAATGTAACTGAAAAGAAATCTTATTTTGGTTTGTTGTGGTGTCAAAGCTATATGAATTATACTTTTCCTATTCTTTTCAGTGAGCAATAGTTGCTGCCAGCCATTAAGCTCAAATCTCACAAAGCAGCCCAATCCTTAAAGAGATTAAGCCAAATAATTCTGGGTGTGTGTCAGATAACAGAGAAGAGATGCAATTGAAGTATTCAGAAATCAGAGAATCCTAGGGAGAATTGTTTTTCTTGTTAATCTAATTCGGTTGCTGGCTTTCCATACACCATCTATTACAGTTACGTGCATCCTGCCAATTATGCAAATTCAGCATTGATGTATTTTACCAACTTATGGATATGTCAGCAGCTACATGCCTTACTTAGCAACTGTTAACACCAGATTTGATTTCCAAGGGAGACTATCCTAACAATGACTAAAGCTGGTCTAGGCTACAGATTTTCCCAAGCAACTGTTGCTAGTGTTTTCATGAACACTCATCACCCTTTCCATTTATTTTCCGAGCATCTGCAAGCATTTGAACTTTAATAAAAACAAAGTCAGGATAACATAAAATAGATCCTTCACATTTTTTGGTTCCCAAGTAAAAAGTGGATATGTTTAAATTGGTCTATAATATCATAGGTCCTGCTAAATTCAAATGTCAGGCTTAAAAAAAACCCTAAATTACTTTTTTTAAAGAGATTATATCTTTCAAAATAATTGTTTTTGTCCAACTGAAAAATACCTGCATATGGAACAGAGGAGCAAATGCAGAACCTTCTGCTTTAAATAAACAAAACGTAATTTGAGCGGCCAAACCCTTTAACTGCTCAAAGGATTTATTCACTTCTCAACAAACTCAATGCGATACAGTGTCTTTTGGTAATAGATAAGTGAACTATGATGGATAATAACCCCACTTACAACCCTACTTAAAACAATCTAACCTTCAAGCTTATACTTTAAGACAGATTTACAGATCTCTTTGGCTCAGTCATCTTTAACAGCTTTTCTTCTTGACTGTCATAGAAGTTAGTTTATAATTTAGGAGAGGAGCACAGATGAGGTTAAAGAAAAGCTGGATTCAAGAAACTAAAACAACTTCACAAAGTGAGAAGAAAGAAAAGAACAAAGAAATAAAAAAGGAGAGACTTGAGAAGTCCCATCCTCGGGAAGAGCCGGAAACTCACCGCAAATTCGGGAGAAAACTGTTTCAGCCAGTTTCCCAAAAAAGCGTCAAGCTCATCCCCGTCCGGGAGGGCATCAAAGTCTATCACTTGTAGGACATGGTGAAAACCTATGTCTTCAAGGCTGTTGTGAATAAAAACAACTAAACTCTTAATGTCATGTTTCAGGGACAAAAAGCAGCATTTAATGCATTGATTGTCTTTTAAACTGTTTATTTCACTCTTGTTTCTACGTCTTTGCTAAAAGTTTAAAAGACAGAATTGTTGGAACAGATTTTCATGGTAAACAAGAGACAATTTTCTCTCTTTAAATTAACAAAAATTGGTCCACATTGGAAATACTTAAATCTTTAAGTGCTCTGAGTACAAAATGAAAACAATATTATCAAAATATTCATTTAATGGCTTACTTCATACATAAATACATGTTTTAGGAACACAAAAAGCGATCCACTGATTGGTAAAATCTCCAAAATGACTTCATCTGGGGCTGAACACATAGATTTTTTTTTTGGCGGGGGTGTTTCTGTATACTCAGGAGGCTTAGTGGGAGATGCTACAAATATGCCATCCGTCGTCCTTTGTTTCTAATTCTCTGTCTGTACCTTTTCCCCAGGACTGCCGCCAGGTATTTCTTGACAGCCATTTGCTTCCTGTAGCGGCTGTAGCTGTCTGTGAAGATCCCGTCTGAGTGTCGCTTAGAGAGGGGTTCTGAGCTGTCATCCAGTGTTTTTCCCCCACTGTAAGAGACACAACGGTGAGCATGTCACAGAGGTGATGTGATGGCCACATATGGTTTTTAGTTACACTAAAAAGGGAATACTAAACATAGTTGAATGAAATTCTTAAGAGAAAACCTTTCATAAAGAATTCAAACTGAGAGCAAAGATTTCCATCTGCATTTTCCACAAACTATCCACCCACCTCCTTCCAATTAAAAGCCTCTGGGATTTAGTCCTATAAATTATTCACTGGGAAATAAATCTAAAACTGTTTAACTTAATTCTTCCCTCCTTTTTTAGCACTAGCCAGCCTAGAAAAAAAAAACTCTTCCAAAGTTGATTATGAAAGCATTTTTCTGCTCTATCTCGCCATTTCATGAAGACTTGATTTAGTAAGAAGAGGTGGGGGGGGTGGCATCATGTAGAGGAAAACAAAATGACACCACAGACATACATAGAGCATGAGCTATGATCCAAAGACCCAGCACAAAGAAACAAAGACCCACAGAAGACAAGAATTAGAAAGGAAAAAAGGGACATACAAAAAAATATTCTTACCCTACACGTTTTGCCATCAGAGAATGAAGGTATTTCCTGGCTGATAACTGACCCAGCGCTTCTCTGTAGGCTTTATTAAACATGCCGTCTGCATGCCTTTCCATTCTGGGATGATATAAATAGCCAAACAGTAAAAATCACCACAAACACGTAACGCAACAGCACATATTAAGACACTGCAGGGCAGCAATTATCCCTCCAATGATTTGATCATTTGGTAAAATTGAAAACAATTTTTTAATAAAAAAAGTTGGCAAAAATGCTTGAAACCTTGAGAAGTATTAGATTTAGTATTCTTAGTATTCTACATATTATAGATTTGTAAAAAAA